AACAGTATCTAAATTCTGTGCAGTTTTTTTATTATCCATGCATGCCATGTTGTCACTGTTCCAAATTACTGACACCTAATGAAGTCAAATGGGTCCCCTTTGATAATAATTTTACCTATAACTTATTAATTTGTTTCCCACAGGTCAGTTTGTTTCATCATCCAAGTGACTCTCAGAAAATTGCATGTTGTAAAACATGTAATGATGCTAGGAAAAGACAGCTTCCTCCTCAACTAGATTCTATTCTGACAGAGATATCTCATGTGCCAATGTTTCACTGTCATTGGCTATCTCCAATTTATTTAAGTTGCTCACTTGGATGTTTGGAAAACTCTAATCCATTCACAACTTTCTGTCACCTTTCTGGCATGGTTGACTGCATCACCCACAATCACAAGATATGATCGAACAGGCTAATGGTATCCTGGAGACTAAAATTGCCAGGTGGATGGAAACTGACAAACAGACGAATTGAACAAGCATTTTAGGTCATATAGTATATACGATGAATTGCAAAGTTTCTAGGACTACTAAGCTTTGTCCATATGAATTGGTTTTTGGAATTTTGCCACACAAGGACCAGATATTATTGGATGAATTATATGAAGCTGGTATAACAGAAGAGATATTGGCTGAGGGTATCATTGAAATTGAAAGTAACAATGAAATTGAAAGCAATGATGAGATTAGAAGTCAATGGGATTGAAAGTAATGATGAGATTGGAAGTAACAATGGGATTGAAAGTAATGATGAAATTGAAAATGACAATAAGATTGGAAGTAACAATGGGATTGAAAGTAACAATGAAATTGAAAATGAATATGAAGGTAGAAATTGTTATGCTATTAACTCATACTGTTTTATTTATAAATTCAATTCATTCACAGTCATATCAGAAATATTTTGCTGTTTTAGCATACAAATGTATATTAATCTAGTTCTAATTTTTAATTATTTGAACTTTTAGATGCTTTTGCTGCAGATGAGACAGAAGGTATGGATATAGACATCAGGGAAACACACTGTCAGATTGCCACATGTGAGAGAGCATTCATGTAATGACCTTGGGATTTAGTCATCTTCCAGCAGAACTCTTAGGCTTGTTCCTACTATCACTAAATCGCTATACAATTAGTGACTTAAATAAGATTTGTCAATACTCACAGATGTCATATCTGACTATCTGTATATGCTTTCTCTAGATTCTATTTAACCTCTGAGTCAAACAACAATTATGATTCGCTAGGGGATTATTAACAAAAATCTATCAATGGGGAAAGTTTAATAATAATGTGCATTAAACATGCAATTAAATAGAAATCCTGATGCCTAAGTTCTGATAAGTTCAATGGCAAGATCAAACTTATTAACTGCTGATTGAGAAAGCAATTTTATCACTTAACCAGCAATCGAATAAAACTCACCAGGAAATGAACGAAAATAACAACTTATATTAATTACAGATTTATTAGAATTCAAAGAGCTATTCTAATTACAAGAATTATAAGGACAAATAAAATAGACTGAAGACTGAAGACTTAAGACTTCATTCAGAGCAGAAAACTATTGCTGCTTATATACCTTCTATTGTTCCACTAATTCTGACACTGGATTTCGATATAACAGGGTTGGATCAACTTGACACACTCTAGTAGCAACTTTTGACACTGCATTGTTATATTTGACATGTCTAAGTTACACTAATCTAAGATTCTATTTTTGATGCTGATTTTGTATCACTAATACTACTGTGCCATTTTGCTGATTGTTTAGCTGCAGAAATTCAGTGTGCTGCAGATGGAAATGTTCATGCTATCAGGTGGAAATCATGGAGGAATATTGCCAATTAAGCCTTGGCCTGACAACACACAAAGTTTGATGACTTTTCAGACAGTGAAAGTGATATTGCTGGTAATTATAAGTGTATTACATTATAGTATTTGCTAATATGACAAAATCAACTGCAATTTAA